CCTGCACCCCAAGCGCCACGGCTCTGGAGCCGGGAAGGAGCCGCGGGGAGACAGCCTGGACCACAGCAAGAGGCACTGTCGGAACTCCCAAGGTCATGGTAAGCTGGGAGGGAAAAGCGCCAAGGACTCAGAATACTTGTCAGAGGAGTCTGGAGAAAGGATTTTCCCACCACAGGCACATGTTTTCCCTTCCTGCATTTGTTTTATTTTGTGCATCTGGGGAGAAAGGCACTCTTGACGGCATCGAAGCACAGAATAATACATGAAGCTGGGGCTGCCTTGGGAGTCAGGGATGGGTTTCAGAAACCTATCTTCAAGGTTCATGTTGAAACTGGGGCCACCTGGGCTTCCCTGAGAAAGCAGAACCGTCCACAGCCCGCATCTCTGGACATGGAGCCCCAGGGGACAGTAATGGTCCAGCCGCCTTTCTGGGACGTCTCTCCGCTGAAAGACTGAGGGAGAAAAAAACACCTCCCCAGGACTCGGGGACACAGAGGATGGATAGGTTTATGCCTGCCGAGCCCTTTGTGTTCCTCGGAATATAAATATGGTACAAGGTACTGTGCTATTATTCAGACTCCTTGGAAAATGCAGGGGATACCTTGAATTCACATCACATCTTTCTGGCAAAGAGCTCAAATGATCTGGGAGCCTATAACTCACCCTGCAGAATGGGGAGGGCATGGGGATCATTCTCCCTGTTTGAGGAAAGGTGCCCCCAGCCCCCCTAGAGAGGAAGAAGAGTCACGCCATGAAAATACGTCCACTTCTGGGTGCCTCTCATTCGTCAGGGCTGCCTCCATTCAGCCTGTCACAGAACGGAGGCCCTTTAATAATGTAAAGGGCACAGTCTTCCCTGGCTTGAGCTCAGCAAATAACACTCCCTGATTACGTGTGTAGATATCGGGAAGGATCGTGGTGGACAACCAGCTCCAGCTCTGGCCCCAGGACAGCCGCCCACGCACACTTCGGCTATAAGCCTCGGACGTGGCCAACATGATTGGTCCTCTCTCCAGGGATGCTCTGCCCAGAGCCGGATTATTCATACTGCCAGCCGGGAGCCGTGTCCACCCACATCGGGATTTGACATTTCTGACACGTTCTGTGGGGGACACAGGCTGGTTAAGTTCAGGTTCCTCTACCAGAGATGGTCTCTGCACCAACTTTACGTGTCAGCCTGAGGCCCCTTCCTCGCCCCGGCCCTGGGCCGACTCTGTCATCTGGCAGAATGGGAGACCCTGGCCCACCTTCTACTCCTTGATGTGCCCACTGCCATTCAGGTCACTCGCTGAAAGCAGCCGGGCCACGGCCTGGCAGGCGAGCGCGCCCAAGGTCACGGAGCTCATTCAGGGAGGAGCTTCATGCCTTGCCCTCACCCACCCGGCGCCTTCCCTGTCTTCACTACCCCCCCGAAGCTGTGTTGCCAGGGACCCCAACCATGTGCCCGTGGTTCTGAGTGCTTTGCCCCATCTGCCTCACTTAATCCTCCCAACCCAATGGTGGGGACAGGGGGAGGTCATTCGTCCTCCCGTTCTACACCTGGAAGGGTGAGGGCACAGAGAGGTTAGGTGGTGAAGGAACCCAGGTAATCTGCCTCTGGAAACCATGTTCTGACCCACCAGACCCCACTGCTTAGACCTAGGGCGTCCCAAATACATCAGAAAGGAGTCCCTGGACATGTCCATGCTTGGAGAGGGGAAGGCCAGCCGCTGCGTACAGCGTGCCTGGGACCCACCTGTAGACTAAGAGGGTGGGGAAAAATGCAGGGATGGTGACAGTGATGGTGGTGACGATGACAATGATGATGCTAAGAACACTGATGAGGAAGCTAGCGTCTACTGACCGCTAATCCACGCCAGGAACTGTATCAACCCCTTTCCACAAAAACCAGACAAGGTATCTACAAACAGTAAAAGCCGGAGAGGGTGTGGAGAAAAGGGAACCCTCCTACACTGTTGGTGGGAATGTAAATCAGTGCAGCCACTATGGAGAACAGTATGGAGGTTCCTTAAAAAACTAAAAATAGAACTACCATATGACCCAGCAATCCACTCCTGGGCATATACCCGGAGAAAACCATAATTCCAAAAGACACATGCACCCCAATGTTCACTGCAGCTCTATTTACAAGAGCCAGGACACGGAAGCAAGCTAAACGCCCATCAACAGATGAATGGATAAAGAAGATGTGGTACGTATATACAATGGAATATTACTCAGACATAAAAAGGAATGAAATAGTGCCATTTGCAGAGATGTGGATAGACCCAGAGACTGTCATACAGAGTGAAGTAAGTCAGAAAGAGAAAAACAAATATCGTATAATATCGCTTATATGTGGAATCTAGAAAAATGGTACAGATGAACTTATTTGCAAAGCAGAAATAGAGACACAGATGTAGAGAACAAACTTATGGATACTAAGGTGGGATAAACTGGGAGATTGGGATTGATATATACACACTATTGATACTATGTATAAAATAGACAACTAATGAGAACCTACTGCAGAGCACAGGGAACTCCACTCAGTGCTCTGTGTGACCTAAATGGGAAGGAAATCTAAAAAAGAGGGGATCTACATATATATACTCGTATAACTGATTTCACTTTGCTGTACAGTAGAAACTAACACAACATTGTAAAGCAACTATACTACAATAAAAAAAATTTTAATAATTAAAAAAAAACAGACAAGGTAGTTCCTACTGTTTCCCCCAACTTTGCAAATGAGAAAACCAAGGATCAGAGGTTAAGTATCTCATCTGAGCTGGATTTTAATCCAGTCTGATGCGACTCCAATCCTTTGACTGAAGCCTCTCTATGCCTCAGACAAACAAACAAACAAACAAAAACCCCAAACTTCATTTTATTAACATTCTCCACCGTAGCCCAGTCTGAGTCAAGGGAGGCGGGGAGAAGTGCAGGGGTCCGGGACACAAGGGTGGCGAGCCACAGCAGGCGCATCTGGAAGGAGCGGCAGGTGGTCTGTCCTGTGTGCCGGCTGGGCGGGTAGAGGTGAGGACCAATCGTTAGGGGTGCCCCCCGCAGGGAGGGGTGCACGGAGTGCACATGTGTTGGGGGCAGACGTCCAGCCAACCTGCACTGCCCACTTTGCTGATTTCACCAGAGCTGCGAAAATTGTTGGCCATACCTCTGCATGAAGAAGCAAGAAGGAACAAAATAAAATACTTTGGGGCTCGGTGGACCTTCTTACTGTGCCTCTATTTCCACAACCAGAGGAGCTGGTGGAAACGATTCCCCGCCCTCCCACCCCCGTGCTGCGTTTTTCTGGAGGGGGCTTTCACACGCGCCACCCCACACGCTCCCCACAGACCCCTGGACTCACCACCCCACGTTACAGATGAGGCCGCTGCAGCTCGCGGGGGCCCAGGCCCCATCTTTCGAAGGCCCATCCCCGCCCGGCGTGGTCAGCAGCCTCATGGGGACATCCACTTCTGACCCACCAGGAAACGGAGCTTCAGAGGAACGCTCAGAAGTGACTCGGAGAACTTCCTGTCTTTAGAAAGGAGCGACAGGGAGGCCTGACCCCCACTCCTGACGCCCCTCAGCCCAGTCCCTCCGCAGGGGCCTCAGTACCTGCCCTGAGCCGGGCACCCTGCTGACCACGGCCACCCAGGAGCAGGACACCCAGCTGGACCAGCAAGACCAGCCAGACAGGCAGCCACGATGCGGAAGAGCACAGGGCCAGTGGGAGGTCTGGGTCGGGGCTACAGACGGCTTTGGCCTTGGTTCAAGCTCACGGAGCCCTCATGGGCCGGGGGGGGGGGGGGGGCGGGAATCTCAGAAAACGACTTTCCGGGGCCTGTTTTAACGGGGAGTTCATGGTTCCTGCCACACAGAGTTGTAGTTGGAACTGAATGAGACGCACGAAAATAAACTTCCCCGCGTGGCGCCTTTACAAAGCTATAAACAGGGTCATTATTAGCACTTATGGCCTGCGGTCCTCATTCATCCTGACTGCTAAGACCCGGCAGAGCGGCTGTTAGCCAGGGTTCCCGCCGAGGCGGCAGCCCCGCGCCCCCAGCTCCCAGCCCCCAGCCCCGCGGGGCCCCCCCACCCATCCAGGCCGCCGCACAGTCAGGCCAGATGCGCGTCCCTCACTCTGTCGCCCCACCCTCCCTTCCCCAGCCACCCATCTCCCGGAGGCAGCTCGCTTTCCCGATTGGTGAGCGTGCTTTCTTTTGGCAGGGAGCTGCTGCCGTCTGTGCTCTGGACCGTAAAACAAGTTTTCATCAATAAATTAAGATAAGCGGAAAGCCAGCTCGAGAGGAGGTGGGCGGAGGCAGGCAGGCAGGCGGCGGCGGGCGGGAAGTGGCTCTGTGACCCAGAAGGGGTCGGAGTGAATCCAAAGCAGGACTGGGCTCTCTGCCTCCTGTCCTTGGATCCCAAGGGCCCCCTTCCACCGGGCTCCTGGCGACGGGAGGCTCGGGAAGTCCCCCGCCTCCCTCCAGCCCCTTCCATCCTCCGGCAGGTGAGCAAGCGGCAGTGACAGGTAGAGTCAGGTTCTCAGCAATGCTCTGAGCCAAAATAATGATCGCGATCGCTGCGTCAGACGAGCTAAATCTAATCAGACACGTGCCGCCCAATCACTGACACTGAGACCGAGCCCTGAAAATAAAACGTGTTTGGCCAGAGCCTCCCCACTCCTCAGCGGGAGCCCTCGGGTCCCTCACTGCACCTTCCACACCACCGTCTCCATGCCTGTCTCACAGCACCCCACCCACCCAAGAAACCTTCCTCTTCCCCCTTTGCACCATTCTCAGTCCCACCCAGGGCCCTCGGGTCCCCGCTGACACCCACCTCCTCCTCCAGGCTGGCCAGCCCCGCCCTGACCCCCACCTAACACTCTGCAGTGGCTCTGACCGTCTGACCACTCACCAGCCTTGGACCCTTCTCCCACCCGCCAGCGCTGCCCTGGCCGGTGATGCTCCAGCGCAATGGCCGCCCGGGGCGGGGCGGGGTGCCTCCCCTCATACCTCTCTGTGTGCATCCCTGGCATCAAGCTGAGCGTTGGGCCAGGTATGGCAGGAGCAAGCACAGGGAGGGAGGAGTGCGGGGACGTGGAAGCAAGGCGAGTGCCCAGCTCCGCAACAGAGCGCCTCCCTAGCCCTGGCGCCATGACACCGAAACAGGCCAGAGCATATGGCAGGAGAAGGGCCATCTGTCCATCCAGCACCACACGCGGGGAGGCGCGCCATCACGTATGTTCAGGACCTAACGGACAGGTGAGCCCTCGGGCAGAGCGGCAGGGTGAACCCCAAACGGCACAGCGAACTGGCCACGCGCCACCAGCGGCTGCAACCACCGGCAAGCCCCTCCCTCCTCTGAGCCTCGGCCCCCACCTTCCAGAGAAAAGGCCGAACCTCACAATATCCCAACGCCTCCAGCCCTGAGGTCCTGGGCTCTCACCTCTGCTCTCCCCTCAGCCTGGCTGAGCAACAAGGAAGATGGCTACATCCACTGTTCAGGTGAGGAGGTGACGTCTCTGAGGTTGAATGATCTGCCCCGGAGCTGGGAGGCTGGAACGCACCCCCTGCCTCCCCAGGGTGAGCCCCTGTCCCTCGGGGAAGACAGCAGGAAGGAAAAGTGTCAGCACTGCACCGGACCTGAGAAGTGCTGTGTGACTTACCGCCCCCGTGACCCAAATCCCCCAGGTAAGGAGACGGATGCTTGGAGTTGAGACTTGCTCAGGGCCCCAAGGTCAAGGGCCCAGGCTGACGCCAAGACAGGAACTGACCACTTCAACATACACACACAGCAGGAGGGGCTGGCAGGGCTTCAGGCCATAACGACGTGAAATCAAGACGGCTAATTATACCCCACCCTGGATGTACACTAGAATCGATCACTTCTGAGTCCAGGCACTTCCCAAAAGCGGAAGTAGAGGAGTGTTAGTTCTTTGACCAAGTCCAGGCAGCGGGGAGGCCTCCCTCCAAGCAGATCCCAAATGGCTCTCCCTCTCTCCTCCCAGCCCCCTCTTCTGCAGCGCGCGCACGCATACACACACACACACAGGCGCGCGCGCATGCATACACACACACACAGGCGCGCGCGCACGCAAGAGCGGGCGCACAAACGCTCCCCGCATCAAGACCTGGAGGGGAAAGGATGCCGCTTCATAAACGGCAAACAGAAAAATAACTTAGATGTTGACATGTGAGATGGTAGGAGCCGAGCACAAAGTTCAATGAACGGAACAGAAACATATTGACAACAGCAAAAGGAAACAATTACCACGCATTTTCATACGAGATCCCATCCCCAGGAATAAATGTGCTCTGGCTTTTGCTTATTCGACAGAAAAAAACGAGCAGTAGCCGGAGAGGGATGAGGACCCAGCATAATGCAGACGCTTGCATTTTGTGGCTCCACGTTTCCCCGAAGCTCTCAAAAGAGTGTTTTTTGAGATGCAGGCTGACCCGGGAGTCAGAAGAAATAATATTGTAAGTGGAGAGACTTTAGGGTGCTGACTCCAGGGCACCCACTAAACAGACACCGTCAAATCACCACGGAGAGGGGCCGCTCCCGTCCACTTGGCAGGTTTGCATCTCGGGAAGTAGACGTTACCAAAAAGAAAAAAAAAAAAAAAGATTTTCCTTGGAGATGGAAGCTTCCAGGTTCATGGCACCAGCCGCTCAGGGGAGCCAGAGCCTGGCTTCATCTCAGGAAAACTCTGACTTCTTTTGCACAAGAAAACCTAAGGCAGTCCTACAGAAAGCGGGTCACCGAGGCCCAGAAAGGCGGGGACGAGTGCTGGGGAAGGGGCACGACAGGCCTGCAGAACTATGTGTCGTCCGCCTGTGGGCCTGATGCTATGGACACTGGACACACAGGACTTGGGGGAGGACCCTGCCGCCTGCATCAGGATGGGGGTCACACTGACCGTGCAGGTACCACACTGCCTCTCGGGTCGCAAAGGGCCCGGGGCCCTTTGCTTGCCCTGACCGTCAGTATTTCATCTCCGTGGTGTCGTATGCTCTCTGAATGACGTCTTCTGAATCAGGGTGTCTGTCCCAGTCTCTGGAAAACATGCCCCTCCACCCGTGTCCCCATCTCTTCCTCCACCCAGGAATCAAAACTTGGATCTGGGGCCAGCAGTTAAGAGCACAGGCTCTGGAGTGAACGCCTGGGTTCTGAATCCCAGCTCTGCCGCTTCCCCAATGTAGCCTCATGCCAGTTGACCACTGTGACTCTGATTCCTCATCTGTAAAATGGGGATAATAATGCTAACTCCCCCAAAATACATGTAGTACCTACAAGGTTTGTTGTGGAGATTAAAAAGGAGAAAACTGGGCTTCCCTGGTGGCGCAGTGGTTGAGAGTCCGCCTGCCGATGCAGGGGACACGGGTTCGTGTCCCGGTCCGGGAAGATCCCACATGCCGCGGAGCAGCTGGGCCCGTGAGCCATGGCTGCTGAGCCTGCGCGTCCGGAGCCTGTGCTCTGCAACGGGAGAGGCCACAACAGTGAGAGGCCCGTGTACCCACCCCCAAAAAAGGAGAAAACTTCTAAAGCCCTGAGAACAAGAACACGGCGTAATATCATAAACGATGGGCACCACCGCTGTTACCCTTCTGCACCTCGCCCATTCCAAATCCTCCAGCCACACCCCTGCAATTCTCCTGCATCCACCTGGTCCTCTCCACGCCCACGGCCCAGGTCCTGGTCTCATCCCTTCGGCCAGAGCACTGAGAAGCAGCCCTGTTGGTCACCCCACCTCCCCCCGCCGTCACCACCGCCATCTGAACACTCCACCTGGGGTACATCACGCCTCATCTTCCAGGCCCCGGAGGGCTCCTGCAGCCTGCAGGATGCGGCTGAAGCTTCTCAGCACGGCGTCCATTTGAGACCTCCTGCAGGCTCATCTTTTCATTATTAGCCTGCCAGTATCCCCACAGTCCAGGGCACTGGTCCCTCTGTGATGCACCCCAAGCCTTTGCCTGCGTGCCTCCCTGCCGGCTCTTCCCCACCAGCCGTGCCCCTCCTGCGCCCCAACCAGTCAGCAGTGCCATCCTTCCCGTGAAGGGCCCATGAGCTCCACCCTCCCCATGCCCCCTCTGTGCGCTAGAAGCACCTCCCACTTCCCTCCCAGCACCCAACACCCTTCGCCCTACAAGGTTCATTCCTTGTTGGTTTTGCCTAAGTCGACTCTCATTTGGCATCTCCTACAGTGCCTCGCATATAGTAGGCTCCCAAGAGGTATTTTTCAAGTTTTCACAAAAGCAAGCTCCCTGCAGCATGGGACTGAGACGGTACAACTGTGCAGCCCCCAGCTGGTCCCCTGGGGGAAAGGGTACCTGCCCTTACACTGTCAAAGACCACGAGGGTCAAGCCTTTCCATGAATACCAAGTATACGCAAACCCCTCGGTGGCACAGAAATGCTGTTGTATCTGATGCAGCCGCATCCCCATCCCCGCTTCCTCTGTGTGACTCAGTCATGCCGTCAACTTGCTTCGTTTCCAAAGGCCATTATTAAGCACACACTACGTCAGGAACCACGCCCCGCAGAGCTGGGCCCCCCACAGGCTCTCAGAGTGTCCTGAGGGACTGCTCCACCTGACTACTGCCAGGCAGAAGTGAGCGGCCCCTCCCTGGGCTCAGACTTGCGCACCCACTTGCCGACCGTGACCTCCCCTCGGACACCTTACAGGCAACTCAAGCTTAACAGGGTCACACGGGAAGCTTGATGCGCAAGCCACGGGGAACCCGTCACCAGCAACTCCTGCCGGTTCTACCTCCGATTTTTGACCCCAGCCCACCCATCTCTCCCCGACTCCACTGCTACCCCAGCCTCCTCCTTGAACTTCTGTGATCATTTTCTGTTTTCCCAGCTGCCACCCCTGCCCCTCCACTCCTCACTCTCCATAGAGCAGCACATTTCCAGAGCTTCCCCTCATATGTAGAACAAATCCCAAATCCCCTCGCGCGTTCTCCGGGACCCTGCACGATCCAGCCTCTGCCTTGCCCACCTCCTCCGTGCCCTGGTCCCGTTCACCGGCCTCTGCTAGCTCCCAGGCACACCATGTTATTCCGCACTCGGGTGTCCCTTGTCCAGAATGTTCTTCCTTAGAGACTCGTGGTTTCATTCTTCTCCTTTAAGCTTCCTTTGCTCCCCATCTTGTATGAAAACCTATTATGACTTTAAGTGTTTATTTACTCTTGTCCATCTTCCCTGCTAGAATGTGAGCTCCATGAGGTCAGAGATCCCTGACTTGTCCCTTGTGTGTCCCTCGGGTGCCAGGTTCATGGTAAAGGCTCAATGAATCTCTGTGGAGGGAGGAACAGAGAGAGGGGGGAGACCAGGACTTGGGAACCTCCTGTCCTGGGGAACGTACGCCTTCAGCATACGTGGAGTAAACTTCTCGGGCGTCACCGAGAGCCTGGGAGTGGCAGAAGGGTGGTTGAGCTCAGCACAGAGAAAATGCTGCAGGATGTGAAAAGCTCTGGTGAAAAAGAACAAGAAGGAGCACAGGCTATGAAGTTCATGGACTCGAGGGAGTTCAATTCCCTGCCCCTGCTGTGCAACGTTAGAAAAGCAACTTGACCTCTCTGGGCCTTAATTCCTCATTTACAAGACGGAGACAACACCACCAAACTCACAAGGTTGCATAAGCACGGTGCCTGGTACAGAGTGATGCTCACAGAAAAAAGTCTTTTTTTCCAAGGATGCTGGGGGCTCAGGCCACACACTCTTTCTAATTAAATGAGGTCGTCCTCCTGCTTCCCGGATGCCGGGCTGCCTGGTGTCACCACCACTCATGTATCAGCCACCACATCTCAGGGTCTCACCTAAGGGACGAGGGGCAGTGAGGGGGGACAGGGTGAAGCTGGGCATATACACCATGCTGTCTGCCAAGATCACGGACACGCGGGCACGTGCATTCAATTCCAGTGAATCTCTGTTGGGCGTCAGCAGGGAACGTCTCCTCCCAACCAAGCCATCATTTTTGACCGTGGCTTTGGGACAAGACCCTGGGAGCAGGTACAGTGGTGGGGTTGGGCGGGGGGCGGGGACATGGCATGGTGCTGTTCAATACCACTTGGTTCTAGGGTCACCCCCAGCTCCTTGCAGCCTTGATGGGAGGGGGAGACGAGAAAAAGAACCAGCTCACCTGACGTCTTGGTATCAAATGCCAAAGGGCAGCTCCAAACCCAGGGAAGGGGGGGAAGGCTCCCTCTGCCCTTAGCCGCTCCGTGAAGGAGACAAGCCACACGGCCCAGGCCAGAGATGCTCACAGTGGAGTCCCTCCTTCAGAAGTCAAGGGCCTGTGCTCTCCTCCCCCATCCCAGCGGACAGGACACCAGGGAGATTTCGAGCCCCAGAATATACCCATGGATGGGAGGACACGTCCCAGGCCCATAGCACTCAGACCCAAAACGAATCTTGCCAAGGCTCTCCTTTGCTGAACCCCCAAAGCCCGTGGGCTGGACCACCAGGGTGCAGATTCAGCCCGGGACAGAGCAAGCCTGCCTGCAGGGGGCTCAACCCTCAGCTAGCCAGCAGCACACCAGCACCCCTCTCCTCCCTGCCCTGCGAGGAGCCCACGCCCCCCGACCTGGCGGTCAAGTTCCTCAGGAGCCGGCCGCGGCTCCCCGCCCAGCGTGCCTGCTGGGAACCATCTGACTCTGGCAAAACGGAGAGGCCAGCTTCGTCATCATCCAAATAGCCCCTGTTCGTGAAAGGAGGGCCCTCCTTCTCCTAGCTCACCCCGAAGGGCAGCTAAGGGCTCCTCCCACAGGGCATGGTTCTCTGGCAAAGAGCATGAAGAATCCGAGGGATGAAGGCCTGTCCTCTCCACGTCTGTGCCCCTGCGGCATCAGCGCTCTGCGCGAAGTTCCCGACTCGGCACACGAAGCGGCCAGTTAGAAGATGTCGCCCCAGGTGGAAGGGACATGTGGGGGACGACAGAGGTGGGAGGTTCCAGAATCCCCACTGAGATGCTGGCGAGAGGGGGGCTGGGGCCACAGCAGAGGGGCCCGGAGAGCTTGTTGGGGATAATCTGT